CAAGAATTAGAAAAGGATAACAGCTATCTGTTTGAATAGAATCAAGACCTTAACAAAAATGATCGATAATTCCAAGTCATTCGAACGAAACAACAGTAAGAAGATATATATTTAAAGAAATTTCTTTAAAAAAAAGATAATGTTTAACCAACTTATTTGAAGTAGATTATATAAATGAACTAAAAAAAAGATCAGAGGATCACATTGACGGAATTCCTACCGATCGTAAGTCAATCAAAGTAGATGAATATGCGAAAAGAAAATTATCTTACATTAAAAACACCTTAACTATCATGGCTTATATTATGTGAATTCTACTTAGTGTTCATAGAGCCTTTAGGTCATTTCACCTATGTAGATAACTAGTTAGATGGTAAAATATTCCATAAAACGCAAATATAATAATAATATTTGGAGGACTCCAGAAACAGCTATAATTCACATTCTATGTCCGAATATAGTTAGTTTGTTCAGTAATTTAAGGATAAGATTTTTAGTAGTTATCATACATTTTCTAAGTTTATAGTGGTCGAACTTTCATATCATGATAATCCGGTCGAGATATATTAGTTGGAATGCTCATTCGTGTAGGTCCTACTACGCTAGACAGGTTGGTTGTGGAGTGATAAGATTAAAAGAAGCAAACTCAGGGTTGAGGTTATACTGTTGATTATTCAGAGGTGTAATAACATTGATATACTACCCCTAGACAACCAGAACCTACAGAGATGTCATCATTTCACAATGAAAAACGAGGGTTGGAAAAGGTTAACCTTTGAAATGACCCACTTTATAAGCCCCCACAAGTTCCCATTGCTAGTGATAAAGTCTGAAAATTGTGTAGCTAATATATCAAGAACCACTTACAAAAAGACTTTGTGACTAATCTAAAGCAGCTGACCACAGTTGGACTATTCGGTCACGCTCCCAGGTCGAACAAAGTAATAACTGGTAAGTTTTATATACTAAGTTTTGTTAAGATGAATTCAATTAGTATGGCGATTTTATTCACAACTATATAAAGATCATTCGGAGAATTACTGAAAATAAAAGAGAAATCGACAAATGTTTCCCCTTGGTTTGTAATTTGACAACTATATGCATTAATTATTATTCATAAGATATTGCATTTCTCAGAATTTAACTATAAAACGTCTGAAAACTGATTGAGTAATTTGAGTTCAACTTTACTTTTTCATGTGATCCTCATCATAAATTGTGATCGTTTACTATTGTGATTTTTGTGTTAGATAATCAATACAATATATACCAATATAATGGATCTTGTTAACTCACATGAATAAAACGATTGAATTTCAATACTCGGTCTGCCTACGACAGATTTTAAACAAATTTTACACAATTTGTTAGGTTTTCTTTTATTCTAATTAATCATATGATTACTTTGGTGTGAAAGTAGTGTATATTTGTATGTATGTGTGTGTGTGTAATCACTATGATGTGAAACAGTCGAACATGTAATGTTCTATCTTATGAAAATAATCCTACCCAAATATTTGTAACTTTTGTTTATTCTATATGTTTGCAATGAGTAAATGAATGAGAACGAATTTTTCCCTGAAACTTGAGAAAGCACTGACTTCGATTTCATAATAAGACTGAATAAGTGTACAATATGGATCTACGCTAAAGTAATGTAAAACAATTGTTTCGTTTACTGAAAGGTATCATAGAAATCACCACATAAAACAGTTATCCAAAAGATCGTTGTGAATTGTTATGATAATTATTTCTTGAAGTTCTTATAGGTAAAATTTTATGACACTCTGTTTTCAATGACATTAATCAGGATAAAGTAACTATTAAGTCCTTGGTCTGTCTACCTGAAAATATACTGGAAAGAACTTGTCTCAATATAAGTTAAGACCTTGACACGAGAGGATAACTAGTTAAACCTTGAGGCTAGAAATACGTGACATCGAATTGAAACTAACGAACATTTAACTGAGTATACAATAATTTACATAAGTTTGTTCAGTCAATTCAGTTAAAATGATAACATTATTAATAACAATCCTATCAGTTCATTTTCTCTACTCTATTTTCAGATCATTCATCATTCTAGGTCAAGTGTTGTAAATAATACAATCCATATAAAGGTCAATTAACAGGTAATATATGAACACTAGAAAAAAACTATGAAAACAACAATTATTGATTCATAATTACACAAAACTAATAGTTTACATGTATCACATCCTAATCTAGAAACAAACGTTTATATCAGTCAACCACTAATCACAATTATCACTGCATTCAGTGATCGAATAAAGATGTATTCATACAAATGTGCAATAACATCAATCGGTCAAAATGAAGTAGAACCTGACACATTTGTGAATCTTTCCAAGTTGACACATCCAATTGGCAAAGTGACATGAAATAATCAAACGAACTCACAGATTAGGAGATGTAGGAACATAATTAATAATGATAATAGAGAAGATTAGACATCCAACATACAATTCGAGAAGAGAATATGACGAGACAATTCATGGACGATTTAGAATCTACAAATCTAAGACAAAACGATGAGTAAATGCTTGTGCAACATTATTATCGACTTTCAGTGATGTCATTTACAGTCTCTAACCATTCATTACGATAATCGAGCAGAAGCCGATCAGGTAGTCTGCACCTACTTATACGGATTATTTTGACGGTTAACAACTTCATGGACTAATGACATGCTCTGGTTTGGCCACCCACACCGTTCTCCAAAGCTAGTACTACAACATCCATCCTCACTTGACACAGGTAATGCTGGTTAACCATATGTAATACATATACCATACGTCTGAGTCAATAAGCATTTACAACATCGTCAATTGATTTCCCATCATCACCTAGCACTCTGAGTACAACATTGACACTGCTATCTCAGTGGTCCCAACATAAACGAACAATTCTTCGATGGCATCTATGATCGAACTCCACTAACTCATGAATAACTCCCATTTTCAAGATCCTTGTTTCACTACCATGAAGAAGTGCGAGACGAACTGGTGAGCAGTGAACTCGTCCTTCCAATAGAAGATGGAAATCAGAAAAGTAACAGGATGTAATATCTGTGTTAACGTAAGCAACATTCACATCATCCATTATGCTTTTCGATGACAAACTGTCAGTGTATAAACAGTGTAAATAATAAATAATGCTACAGCGCACATTACCACAAATTCAAAATCAGACAGCATTGGCATTACTGACTGAGGAAAACCAGTCATCACTAATAATAATGGAGAGAGGGTAAAGTGAAATTGATTGAGTGATGTAAAGAATTGAATACTAACACGATTGTCTGAAGATAAATCACATGTTAAACGGCCTGCAAATGCTGACTTCAATAACACTTAACATCTTCCATTCACATTCTTCAGCAAACCGTACCAGTATCAAACATATGCCTATCCATTACTGCTTCTCAACAGTCTCCTAGTTAATTAATGTCCATGATGTGAAACTACAAAATCAACATCTTCAAAATAATCACCATCCGATATAGGTGTAGTGTCAGGCAGAATTACACCAAAACTCAATTCACTGCGATCTACATACTAGATTGTGGAAATAACACCAGCAAATGTTGTTCAATTAGTTCAACACAGAAAATGATGAGAATGCAACGAACACACGACGGTGGAAATGAGTCACCTTCAGTAGATATTCAGATTTCGTAAAATCAATAGAACAAACATGTACAAACTTGTTATTTTCTAGTTACATATATTAGCTTGTGCATCATATGCAAACATTGATTTATTGAATTACACAAATCAATACTCAGAGTTCGGAGAACGATAATAATTAACACCTATTCGACTATGTGACTAAGGCTGATACTATGCATAACTCCCATTCAGTTTGTCGTATCCGACACTTCCCATCATTCCTCCGTTCATCGAGTGGGTGGCTGTTGCCTTATTAGAATGTCACTTTCATTAAACATTTGATTTTATTCTGTAACATTCAGTATGTTTGTTTCTGTCGCAGGAAGATCTCAACAATTCTAGTTACTCAAATGTGTATTGATAAATTGTGCAGAAACACACATTTGAAAAATCGACACAAATGAACTGGAATTCACACCATTACACAAGTCATTGATTATCTGAACTGAGTAGTTGACGGGATAACGAGATGGTGTTTGAAGTGAATGGTAGTGTGTTGGTGTACTAGAGTGAGCATGAACTCGGATGCAGGTATGTCTATTGGACGAGTCATTAACAAGACGAAACTCATATTCTGAATTTCGTTGTTAGTCATCATTCAATTTTGTTTAGAATGCTTTTGACTTGATGGTAATATTGTGTTAATCCACTTAGGAAGATGATCTGTTGGAAAGAGATTGATCAGTTGCACTGCTAAAAGCAAATGAGAAGATCCTGACAACCAATATAATAAGTCTTCTAGCATCAGCCAGCTAATTAAATTTCTAATTACGAATGACAGGAATTGAGTTTCAAACGAAATCAAATACTTTGACAAACAACTCTTCGAAGTGTAAAGTAAAATGAGTTGACTTTTTACACTACGAACTCCAATGCTAATTACTTCCATTTAGTATTTGAGTAATCGAATTTCATTTAATATGACTGTGCAATGTTTTATGGTGTAGGAGTAGGTTGGAAGAAAGCTAGGGGCGGCCAGACCAAAACATGGTACAAGTCCATGAAGTCACTGACAAGTGGACTGAGTCACGTTGGTAGGTGTAGACTATTTGGTTGGGGACAGCGAGATGATAGCAACCGATGGTTAGAGACCCTGAATGACATGGCTCAAAATCGTTTGCGATGGCGCAGGTGCATACACTCTTTGTGTTCTCCCAAATTTTGATCTCCTGCTTCCTCCTTGTCTCTTTTTTTCTCTTTCCAAATTTATTTCACTGTATTATACTCCTTGAACGACATCTTAAAACCCTAATCTTTCCGATTACTGCTTATACTCTTACTATCTCTACCACTATGGGATTTGAATCGATAATTGTATCTCTGTGCTAATGTTGTATGGCAACTCGAACTGATGTATGTACGTACGAAGTTCTTCGTTGTTACTGAGTAATTGACTGACTTAATATAACTAAAGTATATAGAACCGGTGTTCATCGATCATAGAAATATCAATAAATATATCCAAACAAGCCCTCATTTATACTCACACACATATGAAACTAAACATCTATGCAGTTCTATATAGAGATTATATTCAATTTCGAAACATTATCAAAGCAGATACTATTTAGAAAGAAACAAAAACAACAATACAAATAAAGAATACAAAATGTGTAATAAAGAAACAAGTATGATAATCATGAAAAGAATGTTATTTTCCTTTAAACAAGAAAAGAAGAAGAATTATAAATGACATTAACAAGAATTCAGACATTTGTAGTAAGTAATTGTCCCCCTTCATTTCCAATGATTAACTCTATCTTCTTGTTATTATTACTATTCCATCGTTAAAAGAAAGGTGATGATTTAAAAGAAAGTCCTGTCCATAAATTCAACATTTCTTTGTTTAAATTAAACTCCAAAGCTTTGGTCATCTTTAACAATCTATTTAGATTCGTTTATTTCTTCTTTTTTTGAAAGGCTGACATTTTCTTTGATGGATATTACATCAAATTATTATTGGAAGTTACATGTCACTTCATGTGATATGGATATACATAGAATTGGTTTATAGTAAACAAGCGGAAAAATAAATGAAAGTAATGTGCACTTCGTAGAAAATAAAAAGATGGAAACATTGAACCATTTAAAAGAAGAGATTAACCTTGAAAATGATAATCAATTAATGAGAATAAATTGTGTAAAACAAACAATGTCATTGAACATTGAAATTTTGGTGCAATGATCAATGAAACACTCACACATACACATTAATATTTTCATAACTGTATAAATTTCAATTGGGTCTGTTTTTATAAGATTTCATGAACATTATCATTAAAACTATACAAATAAACTGATGATGACAAGGAAGAAATTTGCAATAAATGGTAACCGACAGAAAACAACAAATTATTTATGCGTGACTGACGTTATTACTTGTGTGATTGTTGTTAGTAGTAGTATTATCATTTTTATTATTACTATTATCATTAAATGTTGTTGTTGTACAAGTATTGGGGCAAAATGCAAAAGAGAATATACTAGAACCAGCTACAAAATAGGCAACATTTTTACTTGATTCATTGGATAAACATTTCGAATTGTATGTTGAATATAGTAGACGTATAGGTTTTGTTGATGGACGGGTAATACGATACAAGTTCGGTTTCTCTTCATTATTTACCCAAGTAATATAAGAAAGTGTTCCATTCTCTGCATCAATCACCAATAAACGATCAGCATCGAAAGCAGTTATTCTACCTGGTCTCAAATCAGCAAAATCCCATGAATAAGCATGTAACCATTCACGTGCACTTTGTTTTAATTCACCAATAGGTTGACGTCCAGGAAATGCTAAAAGTCTTCTTGTAGGTTGATAAATATTTTCTGTATTTTCTGTAGAATAAAGGATACGTTCAACAGAAGCCCAACAACAATGACCAGCTGTTTCTTGTGTTACATAATTTGGTTTATAGAAAACAGACTCTTTACCCATTGTAATAGAGAATACTCGACGTTCAAATCCTGGGGTTAACTTACATATTTGTCCTGGCGAATCAATATTCGATGAATTTACTTCATTGATTGAAGGACAAGCAAGCAATAAATGATCATCATTAGTGTCTACAGATAAACCAGAATAACGTTGATATGAATAAGTACGACTACGAGCAATTTGTTGACCATTCAAATCAAATTTTGCCAAAATCCATTTCTTTTCTTCTTTCATATTATCAGTTTGTATAGTTCCAACGATGTAGAGGAAAGTATGATTAGTTTTAGTAGAATGAGCACATAATTCATGAGGTAAAATATTTCCAACTCCAGAAGAATGAAGATGTAAACAACCCTTGTAATGATTACTTTCAAATTTATGATAATTTTGATCATTCCAATCATTTGACTCAGCAGAAATTAGAAATATATATGGTAGATTTTCTAATCCAATATAAATTATTTTATGATCTGCAGCTAGACATGTGATTTTTGGAGATTCATTAGGCGAAAATGTATCTGGTAGACTAGCATAGCGAAGAATACCTTTGATTAATTGATCACCTGGATAAATTAACTTTATATCATATAATTCATCATCTTTCGTAGAAGGAAATCCTAATTTACTTTCGTTAGAAGATAATAATCCTGTATGATCTGTTGTCTCATCAATACCGACTAAACGGTTTTCTATAGGATTATTTCCGGGTATATACATACTGACAATATGATTCAATCGATTACGCAGAGATTTACCAAATGGTCGCCGTCTAACTGGATGAATAATTCCTTGTTCCACATTACTATTTGAATTATCATCATCAATCATATTGTCTACAGCTGCAAGACTTTCATAAGCTGGAGGTTGTAATTGCATTTTTATCGTCAAAAGAGGAACACTTGATAAAATTTATGAAAACTTAGTCCGTTTTTGTAAATCATGTTTCTTTCATGGATTAAAAACCAATCATGAGACAGAATTGTCAATAATAATCTTTTTAGCCAATCATTTTGACGCTCAAATTTATACGGGATTCCATTGGTTTATATGAATTAATTGTTGTTGAGATAGCCTATGACGGTGAAATCATTGAATTCTTTCTTCAACCTTCCAAATAAATATGTATAATTATTTGACATAGAACTATTGAATGTGATGCATCTTTAATTTTGGAGGTTATATTGGGTTGATGAGGTGATAATTATCTATGTGTATCTTGGACGCAAAGTTTCTAAGACTTTGTCTTACAGTATCATCTATTCATGTCTTTGTTGTTGTTAAGGCCTGAATTTTAAATAGTCTCTTTTGATATAGTTGCATTTTGAACGAACAGCTTTGATATTACTGTTATATGGCAAGTATTTTAAGTAAATGTGTACAGTAGCTAGTAGTGGAATCTAACCGATGTGTCCCAAATAGGACGAAACTTGTGTCCTGGATTCTGTTGCTAGTAACTTTCCATCTTCGTGTTATAATGATGACAATGTAAACTGGTTAAATCAGAACTCAAAGTTGAAGACATTTAATTAACTTTCTTTTCACATATCGAGTATTATCAGTCAAGACGCAGATTTGCAAAGGAATTCATACGTGTTGTTATTTACCAGGAAGAAGTGGCTCATAGATTTTTTGAAATTCAAAATCCTTCGTTTAGCATTACAGTAATAAATGTGTAATGTTTTAACAAAATGCTTATATACCGCTAACTGTATAACTTCTACGAAACAAAACTGTTATACAAGAATGTGTATGAAGACTAATTTATCTATCAATCACGGATTGATATGACATCAAAAATGATAGTGAAACAAATATCTCATTTTGAACATCCGTTTAGTGAATAAATTTAAGTGTATACAGTAAGGAGTAGTTGACATTCAATAACTAATAATCCAGTGTGTATATATCGTTTACATGGTTCATTCATAACTGTTGTGAACAGGAAAACAAGAAGCTCTGACAAACTACGAAAGCTATTTTTCGGGACGTTATTCCATTTTATTCAAAGCTTGTAAAACACTGACATTTAATTTTGTCTCTAATCTATTCTACAGAACATAAGCTTTCGTTCGATGTATGATTCATTGCCATACCCTTTTTCGTTCCGAAGCTATTGTAATTTAAACATAATATTTTGCACCCTATTTTCTACTCTAAATCCCAGCTTTTCCTAATTATCGTACGTTGTGGCGGGTTATTCACTTATTTATTCATGTACCTTTCTACACTAATCCGAACTGAACTGAAACCAAGATATCAGGAATAGATCAAGTAGTGTTCCAGTTGTCTTGTCTTCTCTCACTCGCATGCTTGTCAGCCAGTCAGGTGATAGAATAGTATTCTCTCTACCCCATTTCGAACTCACACATACTAGCCTCAAGGTCAGGTCGGTCAGCCTATCACGCCAAGGTCTTAATCTGAATTAAATAAGTATCCTCAGCACCAAGAGTGGGTAGACAAACCAAAGGACATAACAATAACCGTCAAATCAAAGTAGTAATAATACAATTACTCTTCCTCAAACATTAAAAGTACATTTTCATTTCGGAGCTTTTAGTGAAGTGTAAATACACTTTTAATATTGATGAGTATGCTTTCTGTTATTATGTTCCAAAACGCACAATAAATCAGCTTAAAAAATCGTAATACTTTTGAGTTTCAGCTATGAAATAGTATGCTCAGTATCAATGTCAAGTTTTTACCAATATATTATTCAAATTCGCATAGCTGATATCCTTTTTAACATGACCTGAGATAAATTTTGTTCTCTTCATTCTATGACAATCATTGTTTCCAATATATTTCTTAGTTAATGACGTATAATTGTTAACGCTTATCAACCCTTAGGTTTTAATTTTCAACCTGAGATCTTAGTGACTAATAAGGTTCGTGAGTTGAAAGCATGATTTGTCATTCCCTCCATCTTTGAGAGATATTATAAGTTACCTATTTCACTCATTGTTCCTTTATCTCTTATATTGTGATGTTGCTATTTCAGTGTACAAAAATCATTCAATTTGTGTAACACTTCTCATGTTGACATTTTTTAAAATCACCAAGCTATCTGTTTTTAAATAAACAGAAGATGTCAGATTTAATATAAATGTTCACAAATCAAAAATTTGGATAATCTCAGCCGTATGATTTAAAGAAAGACCTTACATACTTGTTGCAATTATCTCCCGGAGTCATAGATGTTTACTTACTTCCATGTTTGACTTGTCTAATTTTTGTTATATGTAATCTTCTAATCTAATTACCCATCTCTTTGTTTTATACTATTTAGTGAAAGGACAAGTACCATTAGGAATTGTGAAGATATCTTGACCTAAACCAACCGATGGCATTGAAAAATGGTTGCACATTATCTCTAATAAACTGAAGTTAGATATGTAAACTATTTGATACCTGATAAGTTTTCTAAAGACCAAGCGCTCATCGCAAGATCTGAAACCCTTAGGTTAGATCTCCAGTGAGGTCTTAAATACTATCTGGATGTCTAGTGCTTCTCGGAGACGTTTATCTTTTCGTTCGTATTTATTATTTAAATATTTGAGATACTAAACTGGTCTGTTATCAATTATTCCAGTATTCTATCATTCTTTCTACACTTTTTTTCTGTACATTTGGTCTCTGCATCCACTTCCCAGTAATTTCTTACCAAATTTATACCTTGGCTACAACCCTGTTTATCAGACCCAAAAAACAGTTTTCCGTCCATTTTCGAAAGTCTGTGTGCCTTTACCTGTTTACTTTGGATATCGCTCACTATTATTAACTGAACCTGTCTTATCTGAACGCAAGTAAGTAAATACTACTTAGGTATTCCTTCGGTAACGAATCTGCATCTCACCATGAAGATAATTTACGATTACAGAGACAATTATTTGAGAAAATTTTCTTCCAACGAAGTTGGGGTATTGAGACTATAGTTGGTTCTTATTGAAGTTCTCGTGCCTAACACTCATGCGCGGAATCTGATTCGATTGCTTCGTATCGCAGCTCTGTTGACTTGTGATTTTACATGGACAGCTGGCGTTTCAGAATATAATGAGGAGTACACCAATAAGAGGTAACGATTCTGTTTATTAGTGTCATTAATAAATAAACTTTCTGTAAACTCGTACTGCTGGAAACAATTTCTCTTCCATATGAGCAACTGTTAACAATAAAATGTTATCCTTCACAATCATTCGTACATTGCTGATCTTAGTAATTAGTTTATAAGTTTACTGATAGTATTCTAAACTTCAGGCATTGACCGTCAACTTATCAACCGAAACATTCTCTATGTGTATGAATTGATCATTGAGTAGCTAATGATGTACATATAATATATGTTTCTTTTGAAGAAATTTATTTTCGCCCGTAAGTTAAAACTAATATAAATTAGGTTTACGGTCAGATATACTACTTTTAGGCAGTCAAATACTTGGTTGATCACTAAAAGGGTTTAAATTAGTCACCAGTTCATAACCAAATACTATCCTTGATATATGATTGCTAATCTGAGTCTACTAGCCAAGCCAAATTGTTTAAAATTTATAGCCATAAGCAAATTAATGCAAGAAAAACATCATTTGTTTAACTTTTGTCAACAATTAACTTAATTAGACTGAATTATGACAAATATTCCGAAGTTATAATCATTCATTATCAAGTCTTATATGCTTTTATGATCAAATGTAACTGAAGTTCTACAGAAAATTGAATGTACAAATATTTAGTGTTCTACAAGGAACAATTAGAAAAATCAATCCCCATTAGGTGATAATTAATTACACCAAGTAGAAATAATGTAGTGTTTAACATAAATATTTTTCTTCCAACTTAGTCCCAATTAACATCCTCATAGTGAAGTTATTTTTCTTTGATCTGGGTGGTGTAATCGTAAAAGCTTTATTGTTTTTCTAGACAATATAATCAACACAAATTTTAAAAAGAATCCGTCTATTAGAATTTCTTTACCCGATCTGATACAAATCTTATGATAAGAAAAATGATCAACTCCCTAAACTACTTCACTCATTATAATTAGATTAAACATTGGCACAAACTAAGACATGAAGCCATATTCTTGCATAGTTACCCAAAATATTTAAAAAACTGCTTGATTACTAAAGTCATAGCCATCTGATGACAGTCTTCATATAAAGGATTACTTATTGTGATCTGGTATCATTTGAATAAGTATTACATTCTATGAAGTATTGGCTAATTACTTTTCATTAAGTTTTTGGTTGAGATCATCAACCGATTTATGTTAGACCACCTTTAGAAACCTGGAAGCACTGGACGGCCGTTTCGTCCCATTGCGGGACTCCTCAGCAGTGCGCATCCACGATCCCGCACCCCGCGAGATTCGAACCTAAGGCCTTCGGTCTCGCGCGCGAACGTTTAACCTACTGGACCACTGAGCCGGCATCTAATGGTGATAGTGTCTAACATCAACCAGTCCACGAAATTGCGCGACCATCTTATATTGTACTGAGGTAGATACCTTTCTCTACCCGACATGGATTAGCTCCATTGGTCACGGCTTCTCACTAGAACTCCGAGAATTCCCTCACGAATCTAGTCACTAGTGAGCACATGTTAATTACTAGTATAGGGGTTGTGGAGATTATTAAGTTTTTGATTGAAATCATGAACCGATTTATGTTAGACCACCTTTAGAAACCTGGAAGCACTGGACGGCCGTTTCGTCCCATTGCGGGACTCCTCAGCAGTGCTCATCCACGATCGCGCTTGCGGGAATCTCACTCATCACTTGTAGGATAACGTTACTATGTAATCCCATCAAACTATGTTTGCTCATGATTTATTAGTCACGTATGTACTTTTAATTTGTTTTTAACTCTACAATAATTATTTTTTAGAATTATTTAGTGGATAAAAAGTTTATAAAATCTT